GGTTATGCAAGATGCAACCATACCACAACCTCATCGTGGGACAAGCAAAAACGAGAACGAAATCGATATCGGGGCCAGATTCTTATCCCATCTATCGCTGCATCCAGTGCAAGCAAAGATTCGGCACAAACAAAAAGCAAGGGCAGGGATTCTCCGCGAAAAGATAGGCAAGCAGGCGTAACATTCATGCATCCATACATTCGATAATCATACACATAATGCCATCGCAAGGACGGGTGTGAGCAAAAACCCAAGTCCAGATTCCAGATAGCCGAAACGAAGATAAGAACGGGCAAACCACCCGGAGCCGCAATGAAAATGTATGTACACAGATAGAGAGGGGGAAGAGACAAAGAAACATCAAATCCGCATCCCTCGACCTCAACTCTCCTCTCCTCTCTCTCTCTCTCCGATGCGGACAGTCCGTCGTCGTGCACCAACCCACGAAGTTGTCACCCCGCTGAGTCCTCCCGCACCCGTCGGATTCGCCCGTGCCCACAGTCCGTAGTGGCCCACGTCAATCCCGCGCGTTCGGCACCAGCCCGTCGGGTCGCTCAACTCCTACTCTACTCACCTCTTACTTCGCTCGTGTGCCGACCCTTCCTGATCGCGCAACCCCGAGCTTCCAACAACGGGTTAAGAGAGCTGACTAATCGCGCAACCGAAATTTATAGCGTGCATGCATGCGCGAAGAACACGGAATTACTAGGACTTAGAGTGAGGATTAGAGAGAGAACGCCTACGTTCTGCATGATCGGCCACGGCGTGGGGGACGTAACGCTTCTCCACGCATCGATCCGAGCATGCAAGCCGCGACTTACAAAATTTCAGCAAAGGAAAGAGAGGGAGGGCGGGAAAGACGAAGTGCAAGAAGAAAGATACAGTTACAGTGGCGCCCGTCCAAAATTACTGCTACCCACGCGATTAAGGGCGCCTACTAATCAGAGTACCGTTGCAGCCGCATGAGAAGCGCGTAAACAAAGGGCGCCGCGCAGCAGGAAAAATCCTAATTACTAAATTCCTAAATTCCTATCTAATGCGAAAAAGCAAAAAGAAGTACGAATTCAGAAGGAAGGTCCGAAATTCCGAGAGCCATTGGGGGCTCGACAAAATTCAAAAGAAAATTCAAAAGGAAGAGAGCAATTTTCCGCGCGGTGTCCGCGCCCAAAAGATCAAAAACCGAAGCGAAAGGAACGACGTCAACATTTATTAATCGCGCGCGCGCGTGGCAACGCGCCAAACAACCATTCAACCAATCAATCCACCGGCCATCCGAAGACACACCTGGCTCCGAACCCGGTCACCCGACACGAAGCGACGAAAAAAAGGACGAAAAAGCGAGGACACTGATGCAATTCTCCACCGATCCCGATCTCCCATAATTGGCCCTATCTTCCCAACTTAGGACCCCTCATTGCATCCGCACAGAAAATCGCACGTTACAGAAAGTGGTTCGTCACATGACAGCGCCTTCGTAGACGTGCTTGTCATACTCGACGAAATAGCTAAGATGTGACTGCCCTCCCAGTGGATGAACGTGGAGTCCAACGCTAATTGAGAATGGAAAGCCGCAGTGCAGGACCGCGTGGCCATAGGGATGAGACAGGCCAGGTCAATGGTCGAGCTAGGGAAGACTCCGTGCCCCTAGGGAGTGCTGCATGCAAGGACATTGGATTCGTGGGGCCACATTGAACCGACTGGAGTAAGGAGGAGGGTTACGTACCAACAGCCGATGTACACCAAGGGACGGGAAGACATTGGCTGATGACAACCTGGTACACTCTCTGAGAGTTGACCCGGAAGAATAGTGGACCAGCAGTGGATTGACTAAAGTGGCACACATTGCCACACAATGCTACTAGACGAGATGTTCGTGGTTCACATAGGATGGTGTAGCTCAGTGGTTAGAGAACCCGTTGGAAATGTGCGGTGTGGTATAAGGTTGTGGGTTCAAAACTCTTCAGCCTTGCGCATGGACACCGGCAGGGCGTTAGAATGGTACTATTACAGACACTGCCTGCGCACCACCCAGGGGGTTAGTCCATGGGTGTTGTATGCTGGTCTAGACTTCACGTTGGTTACTTGCTGTTGCTGGCTTTGGTTGCTCTGATGATCTCCCCCAGCCTAGATATTTCACACATTATATCCACTTCCTACGGTAGTGCATGTGGTAGAACACTCCAGTCTCATACTATAGGTCACAAGTTCGAGTCCGGTTCCGGACTTTGGGGAGGTCCTGTCCTGATAGGCCTGTCTCTGCCATATATTACACACACACACATGAGATACACTACCCCAGATACTGACTACATGTACAACCACGATAGGCACGTCGGAGGGACAAGGCTGGCGGCTAGTGGAAGGACGGATGATGGCCCACCACCTCTGAGTCTGTAGTCTATCCCTTCCAATCCCTATAGGAAGTACCTAGCTGATGACCGAAATCTGCTGATAGGTGGGAGACAGTCTACTACTGAGGATAGATCAAGTAGGCAAAGGGGCCTTTGAGGGGGGGGAGCCCCAGCTGATGACCGGGGTCTGGAGGAGGGCTGTCTATTCATTGGCAACAGATTAAGGGCGCATAGGGTCGCCCCTCCTCTGCGTCGAGGCAAGGTACTCCTAGGGGCCTATATATACTACCTACACATGGCTCACACAGGCACTGCTAGAGGTGGTAGGACCACCTCTCACTGGTCTTCACTTCGTAGATGCTCCATGGTGGGGAGCAGCGTCTGCTACGGGTCCATGCACATTACAAATATGCACATAGCCTACAGGCACATACCTAAAATACCGAACACACACA